GAATTCAGGTTTGCAAGTGATATGTGGAAGCCCATTGGAGCCTATGGTGAAAACGGCTTGTGACAGTTCTGTTTCAAAATCTTTGTGAAAAAGCGTCAGAGAAGCTTCCCTCCTTGGAATCCAGCATAACTCACTGAACCGAATAAGTGGTAGTTAAAACAGAGGTAGAGCTCAAAACAGTTTCTTTTCAGAAATTAGATGCAAAATCACACTGCAAACGGCATTCAAACAGGCCTGAAAAGTGTGTTGTATATCTCTGCCAAAAACACTGGAGGTTGAGCTTTTACAAGCAAGTTTAACTCTAAGGGAGCAGGCAGCAGAATGTGCTTCTCACATCTAGCCTTTAGGAATTCAGGTTTGCAAGTTCTAAGGGGAAGCCCATTGGAGCCTATGGTGGAAATGGCTTATGAGACTTCTGTTTCAAAATCTGTGTGAAAAAGCATTAGAGAAGCTTCCCCCTTTAGAATCCAGCATAACTCACTGAACCTAAGATGTGGTAGTTAGAACAGAGGTAGAGCTCTAAACAGTTTGTTTTCGGAAATTAGATGCGAAATCACACTGCAAACGGCATTCAAACAGGCCTGAAAAGTGTGTTGTATATCTCTGCCAAAAACACTCACTGGAGGTTGACCTTTTAGAAGCAAGTTTAACTCTAAGGGAGCAGGCAGCAGAATGTGCTTCTCACATCTAGCCTGTAGGAATTCAGGCTTGCAAGTTCTATGTGGAAGCCCATTGGAGCCTATGGTGAAAACGGCTTGTGAGACTTCTGTTTAAAAATCTCTGTGAAAAAGCATCAGAGAAGTTTCCCTGCTTAGAATCCAGCATAACTCACTGAACCTAAGATGTGGTAGTTAGAACAGAGGTAGAGCTCTAAACAGTTTGTTTTCGGAAATTAGATGCAAAATCACACTGCAAACAGCATTCAAACAGGCCTGAAAAGTGTGTTGTATATCTCTGCCAAAAACACTCACTGGAGATTGAGCTTTTAGAAGCAAGTTTATCTCTAAGGGAGCAGGCAGCAGAATGTGCTTCTCACATCTAGCCTGTAGGAATTCAGGTTTGCAAGTTCTGTGGGGAAGCCCATTGGAGCCTATGGTGGAAACGGCTTGTGAGAATTTTGTTTCAAAATCTCTGTGAAAAAGCATCAGAGAAGCTTCCCCACTTAGAATCCAGCATAACTCACTGAACCGAAGAGGTGGTAGGTAGAGCTCAAAACCTCCTGGAATTAATAAGCAATTATAGCAAGGTTGTATACAAGGTTAATACAAAGTTAATCACTTTTCTGTATACTAGCAATGAACAAGTGAAATCTGAAATTAAAAACAATACATTTTCATTAGTACCCCTCAAAATAAAATACTTGTGTAGAAAACTTAGCAAAATATGTACACAAGACTATATGAAAAACAACTACAAAACTCTGATGAAATAAATCAAAGAAAAACTAAATAAATCATGAGATATTCTATGTTCATGGATAGGAAGACTCATTATTGTCAAGATGACAGTTCTTCCCAACATGATCTATAAATTCAATGCAATCCCAATCAACTTATTTCAACAAGTTATTTTGTGGATATTAACAAACTGATGTTAAAGTTTATACGTAGAGGCAAAAGACCCAGAATATCCAACACAATATTAAAGGAGAAATCAAGGTTGGAGTATTGATACCACCTAACCAAAAAATTTACTACAACTACAGGAATCACATCACTGTGGTATTGGCAAAAGAAGAGGAAGTAGATAAATGGAACAGAATAGAAAGCCCAGGAATAAATCTGCATGAATATAGTTAAGTGATCTTTGGAAAAGGAGCAAAAGCAACACAGTGGAACAAAGATAGTCTTCTCAACAATTATGCTAGTATAACTGGACATCCACATGCAAAAAAATGAATCTAGACACAGACATGACACCCTTCACAGAAATTAACTCAAAATGGATCATAGACTTAAATGTAAAACACAAAAATTATAAGACTCCTGGAAAATGGCTTAGGAGAAAATCTAGGTGACCTCAGGTACGGTGAAGACTTTTTGAACACAATGCTAAATGCACAATCCATGAAAGAAATAACTGATAAGCTGGACTTGATTAAAATTAAAAACTTCTGCTCTGCAAAAGACACAGTCAAGAGAATAAGAAGACAAGCCACGGAAATGGGAGAAAATATTTGCAAAAGACTTACCTGATAAAGAACTGTTATCCAAATATGCAAAGAACTTTTAAAATTCAACAATAAGAAAACCCAATTTAAAAATGGGGGACCGAACCTGTGGCTCACTCAGGAGAGTGTGGTGCTCAGCGCCCCCGCCACAGGTTCAGATCCTATACAGGGATGGCCAGTGCACTCAGTGGCTGAGCGTGGTGCGGACAACACCAAGCCAAGGGTTGCGATCCCCTTACCGGTCACGAAAAAAAAATGGGAAAAAGACCTTAACAGAACCTCATGAAAGACATACAGATGGCAAATAGGTATAAGAAAAGATGCTCCACATCATGTGCCATCAGGGAAATGCAAATTAAAATAACAAGGAGATATCACTACACACCTATTAGAATGGCCAAAATCCAGAACAATGACAACACTAAATGCTGTCAAGGATGTGAAGCAACAGGAACTCTTCCATTTCTGGTGGGAATGCAAAATGGTACAGCCACTTTGGAAGACAGTTTGGCAGTTACTTACAAAACTAAACATATTCTTACCATATGGTACAGCAGTCATGCTCCATGGTATTTACCCCAAATGAGCTGAAAACTCAAGTCCACACAAAAACCTGCACATGGATGTTTATAGCAGCTTGATTCACAATTGCCAAACTTGGAGGCAACCAAGATGATCTTCAGTAGGTAAAATGGATAAATAAACTGTTACATCCAGATAAAGGAATATTATTCAGTGCTAAAAAGCAATGAGCTGTCAAACTGTGAAGAGAAGCCAATCTGAAAAGACTACATACTGTATGATGCCAACTATATGGCTTTCTGGAAAAGGCAAAACTGTGGAGACAATAAAAATATCAGTGACTGCCAGCAGTTTGGGGGCAGGGGAGAGGGGTGAACAGTCAGACAAGGAGGACTTTTAGGGCAGTGAAAATACTCTGCATGATGCTGTAGTGGTGGACACATGTCATTATACATTTATCCATATTCCTAGAATGTACAATTCCAAGCGTGAAGCCTTATGTAAACTATGGACTTTGGGTTATTATGATGTGTCAATGTAGGTTCATCAGTTTTGACAAATGTTACCACTCTGGCAGGGGATGTTGAGAATGGAGGACGTTTTGCATGTGTTGGAACAGGGGTGTCTACGGGAAATCTCTGTACTTTCTGCTCAATTTTGTCGTGAACCTAAAACTACTCTAAAAAGATAAGGTAATAATAAATAAATAAATAAAAAATAAATAAACAAATAATAAATAAATAAATAAATAATAATAGATAGATAGATAGATAAATAATAAACAAATAAACAAACAAACAAATAAATGAATGAATGAATGGGTATTAATACATCTTGGTCTCCCAGCTACCACCTACTTCTATTCCTGCTTTAGGCTCTCTGTCTGGGTCTACTTTTTACCTCTTCTGCTCTTGACATTCTTTTAAATAAGATCCTCAAATGTAAGTGGTTGGGATGAGGGAATAAGAATGAATCTCTGTGTGATTTGCTCTGAATCTTGAAATCCACAATCCAAAGGACAGTCCAGGTTGAACCCATCAAGGTTGTTCCTAGACTAACAAGGGAGCAGCCAAGGAGACAATACCCAAGGACATACCACAAATAAATTGCCTGCACTTTATAAGGATGCGACTGGATAATCAACGTAAATTTATTTCTGAATTGCTTAAGGATCATGAAAGAGAAACATTAACTCTTATGTTATAAAAACAGTAAGATACAGTACACAGGAATATCATTTGAATAACAAAAGTACAATAGAAATGAAAAAGTAACTTTTAACCTTAAATACAAAGGTGAAGCAATTTAATAAGAAATTTTGTTAATAAGAAAAATATATGTCCCATGTCTTTATTACATACTGTACAAAATAAAATATTGCACATTTAAGTCATATAATAAATATATACAAAGAGTATTTTACAATTGATCTTTCAATATAATAACCTTCAACAATCAAATGTGATTGATGATTAACAACTCATGGGCTGGTGTGTCCTCTTCACCTACCCACATCCATTCCCAGCCACCAAACCCTCCACATACAGTAGTGCTCATCCCAGTGTCAGTGAGGCTGAAGTTAGAACAAAAGAGACCTGGTGCTCAGAATATGGTAGAGAGACTCAGCGAGCTTGTCCACAGACAATCCGAAGCCAAGATGCACTGTTCACTTACTACTGACCAGGGACTAGGTCCAGCACAACCTGCTGCAGGTAACTTTGTTGCCAACAGGCTGTAGGCAGCATGTGTACAGGCAACTGGGACAATGAACAAAGAAGTAGGACCACTTATTTGGGGTTGCGTATCATCTCAAGCCATAACTGGTGGTGTAAGAGGGAAAGATTCCCATAACCAAATCAGCTTTAGAACTTACAATTTAATTCTGGCCCAAACCTACTCAGCAGCAACATTTACTCCAAACTTAACCTCCACCCTGACACTATCACTGACACCAGCATCAGCCCCAATCTAAACCCAACCTAGTCCTGACCTAACCAGGCCCTAACCCTAACCCCTAAAGCCAACTCTAACCTTAACCCTAACTTAACTTCCTTTCTTGCCTAACCCAATCCTAGCTCTAACCCTAAAACTAAAACCCTAACCCTCTTCTCCAAATGTTAACTCTAACCCCTAGTCCCAAGTGTAATTTCCAGCCCAACCCTAATTCAGTTTTGCCCACATAAAGGATCTAGTCTCCTCATGTCCCAAGCGACCACATCCATTCTGAGAGGCTCCTCAGATGTGACACTGACAAGGTAGGCACCATCAAGGTCTGGTCTGGACAAGACTTCTGGGGCAGCAATGATACCTGAACAGGGTACGTACTATCACAGGAAGGCCCAAGACAGTGCCGCCAGGAAGTTGGTTTCTTTTTCTGTGCACAGTATCTCTCAGCCACAGGTTTGCAGCTTCTTGCGTGGACACAGTCGACTTTCCGAGACTGGAAGCCCCTGCCACAGGCTGCTGTACAGGGCCTCCAAGGGCCTGGGCGCCAGCACACATCGCAGGCCCCTGACATGCAGTTCCTCTTAAAGGTGGGTCTGAAATGAAAAAATAATGGAAGACAGGAGAGGCAGGGTGTTCCTTCTTGCTGGGATCAAGCCTTTTATCCTACTACGTATTCCTTATACTAAAGGTTTGACAATTAAAAGCCTACTAACCAGGACACCGATTTGTACTTTCCATGGTTGACTGAGCAAAGGAGTGGTACAATCATGACCATAATAGAGATAATTAGATTTCTTTGAAATATAACAATTTTTTAGCCACTGAGAATGACCTACAAGCCACCCAGGTTAGCCCCAGAGTTTTAGGAAGGTTCTGGAAGCTGTCTTAAGACACATGATGGAGGGAGAAGGGGGAAGACCTATTTTAGAAAAATTCAATCCAATAAACATTTATTTAACACTTTTCATATGTTGGGCACATAGACATGAGGAAGAAGAAATGGGCAAATACACCCCCAGTGCCAAAAAAAAGTTCAAAAATATATGGTGTGAGTCAACAAGAGACCAAATTATGACAGTATGAGGCAGGATGAAATCACTGCCACTAAGAAAAGGGCCAATAGTAAGAGCTCACACTTAAGTTTACACGGGAAAAACCAATGGGAAGTTGTGGGTGAAGTGCTAAAAAAGTGTCCTTGCCACTGGGAAAGGTTTTCCTCCCCACCCTGATGGCAGATGTGAGGTGTCTTAGTCTTAGACTCTTCCATCTAAGACTGAGACATCCCCCCCCCCCGCACTTCTATTCGGTACAATCAAGAAAGACAGTGACAACGTTCCTCACTACTTGGGGCTGGGAGTCCCTGCTCAGAAGTGCTCTGATCAAGTCACAGCAAGCCAGCCGTATGACTGGCTTCCAACACCAAGTCAAGGAACATACCTCAAAAGATATGCCATCCTGATAAGCTGCAGCAGATCAACTGAGGCAAGGAAGAGAATTATTTACTACAATAACACACAAGAAACCACTTCAACCTTGTTAACATGCCTTACATTTTTTGTTTATAAGCACTTGAAACATATTCTGGTAAGAGTATGAATTTATATGTGAGCATCTCATCTGCTAATAGAAGTGCTCTTACATTTCCATTTAGGCCACATCATGAGTTATAGTCAGGAACTACCAAAGGCCATGTGGGAAGAGGAATCTTTCTCTGATTCCCTTGCCCTTTAAAACAGAACAGAAAGTTAATATCCTGATTTTTGAAAAGATATTTACTCTGGAAGATGGAGCCACCTGAGCAGACTCACTTTGGGGGTATCTGCCCTTGTTCCCTAGGGCAAGGCTTCTGGAACAATGTATTTGTACTGCATGAGAATGTCTCCCAACCCACAAACATTACTGGAAGAGGGCGCTAGCTTGAATTGTTCAATAATTGTTTTTCTCTTAGGAATTTGGAGGATGCCAGAACAAGACATGTAAACCTGAGGCTTGAAGGAATGGCGGCCCTATTAGGCCATACGGGCCTCAGGGACAGAAAAAACAGTTTTCAGAAAGAGCAAAGAATAAAGGAAAAGAGAGAGCACAGAGCTGCAGAGATAAGAGGAGGAAAAAAACAAAACAAAATATCAACAAAAAAATGACTTTCCATTTCTTGGAGTCTGACTGCGTTCTCCCTTTGGATTCTATGAGACATTTTTTGATTTCTGTTAAAGGCTTCTTATAATGGCACATAAGGAGTGTGGAAACACCAATCGAAATGTAATAAAATGGAGAAAATTCTGATCATCTGAACCTCTCTGAGGGAGAGTATTACACATAGCTGGAAGCAATACTTTGATTCGCCAGTAGGGGGAGACTCCATCAAAGAGTTTACTTAAACCGTGTCCCACCAAGCTGTTTATGAGACTTACCAGGGGTGGGATGTCTTGTTAAGTGCTTTTGTTTTCCGCAGTGAGTATGCACCTCGGGGGCTAAAAGTTAAGTCACTTTGAACAGCACAGCAGAGACTGAGTACTCCTCAGCCATCTCCCTATACATAGATCAGCTTTTCTACTGAAAAAGTTTAAACAAGCATTCAAAGAATATATTTAATAGGATACTGAAGTGTTGTGCTCAAATGTTGGGTGGTGGTCTCTTATTAACAAATCCCTCAGCTGCTTTGCATAAATCATTCCAAGTTGACTTTTGTTATTTCCAGTCCAAAGGACCTTAACAGTCACTTCTGCTTCAATAAAAGGCAAGGTCAGTGGGAAGTTAGAGGAACCAGTAAGCTTCCTAAACATAAAGGATGAGAGGTGCACACGGAGCTATAGACTAGCACAGACGCTGAAGCCCAGGACAGCTCAGAGGTTGGTCATTGAGGACACAGAAAAAAAACAAAAACAAAAACAAAAAAACACAAGGCCAGTCCAGCAGAGGGCATCACTTCTTCCTGGCCAGGGACAGGAGTTGGCATGGGGACACCTGAGTCAGGTGGACACAGCCTGGGCACTGGCACTATGCTCACAATTGGGGCTCAGGTGAAACATGAATGTAGAAACAGAAGCAGAAATCATAAAATGACCCTGTTCCTATTACCATTTCTCAATTTCTGTTCAGTCCAGCTCCATCTTCTGAGGGCAGCAGATCCCAAGTCTGGCTATTGGAAGTGGGCAGCTTTCAAAAGATGTAGATTGCCAGGCAATCTCCTAAAGGTTTATTAAGTCTGAGGTGAGGCCCGAGAATCTATTTTACAAAAATTTCCCAGGTTATTCTAACTCTCGGCTGAGGTTAGAAATCACCACTTTGGGAAACAAACTTTCTGCATTCTCAGCATTTCCTTAGGTCCCTATGTTGTCTTCTTGCCATAAGTCTGGGCTAGCTCGACCCTGACAATTTGCACTTCCTCTACAACCCTTTTCAATGGAAGCCACAGCTCTCAAACCCTTCCCAGGGTTTATAGAAGGTGCTAGCAGACAGCCTACCCACCATCGATCCTTTACCCATGGCCACTAATGTTACTACCTATAAAACATTGTCTAACATTTACTAAGGCTCTACTATGGCAACTGGGGGGAGGGAGGGAGGGGGTCTCCAGCTTGCCCATTGCTTCCTATCCATGCACTCTAAAGGGAGAGCTGTCACCTCACCTACCTTGGGCAAGCCAACAGCACACCAATTCAGCGGAAGAGGTCTGTGGGGAAAATGGGGCCATAAAACTGCAAAAGAAACGCTCAACAGCTCTCTATACTAACCATCTTAGGCCTTTATCCAAAACCCACCAGATATTTGAGGAAAAATAACAGTGTGAAAGAAAGACACCAGGTTATAAAAACAGAACAGCCAACCCTGGAGGAAACAAAAGAGAAAATGAGAGTTTGTTGGGCCTTTAAAAAGCTAACACCACCTTAAAGTGACATTACAAGTGGATTAAAGTGGCAGCCTAAAACGGTGCCGGGAGAAAGCAGGGTGGGGGTGTCTGTGGGAACCTTGCCTTAGCCCTTATTGGCCGCACTTGTGAACACTGCGTAATTGCAATAGCTAGGTATTGAGACAGGATGCATGCCCTTAACCCTTAAGCTGATTGGAGGATGTAAAAAACCTGCCTTTGCCATTTACCTACAAAAGCCAACGCTTGTGTGCTAATAAACGGAACTGCTTTGACAGAACCCTCACCACGTCTGAGTGTCCTTTAACTGGGCTGGTTTGGGGCCAGCGGTGTGCTCACCTCTCTTCACGGCTCTCTTCCCCCGTCTCCTTCAAAAGGGGACTGGAGGGAAAGAGGAATCCCGGGCCGTTCGCTCGCCCACTGAAAGGAACGAGGCTAGTGCTGTACGGGTTGGCGGCGGACCCGACAGAGTGGTGCCCCGCGTGAGGACTTTTAAAGGCGAGCCAGTGAGGCCCCCGGCTGCTCGGTCCTGAAAGAAGGTCGACGAAGAGTGATCAACCAGCGGAGTGGCCCCCGCAACCGCGGTAGTCGCCGTGAAGTAATCCGCCTGCGTGTCAGGGTGAGTACCATAACAGGGGGAAGTCCCTGCACTTCTGTGCCCTGTGCTCCCTTTGTCCCTTCCTCGCGGGGCAACATGGGAGGTTTGTGTGGAAAGAGTGATGAGACAGCTTGCAAGGCTCTAAAGTACATGTTAAAAAGCAGAGGCCTAGAAATATCTGACGAGACAGCCTGCAAGGCTCTAAAGTACATGTTAAAAAGCAGAGGCCTAGAAATATCTGACTCCATGGCCACCAATGCCTGGTGTCATGTGGTGTAGGTAGCCCCTTGGGCACCTTCGTCCAACTTATTCTCATATGAGACTTGGGACCGGGTTCAGATCCTGCCCAGAAGAATGAGATTAGTCACGGGCTAGGTCCCCCCTTAGGGTTCTACCCAACCATCTCTGCCCTAAAGCTTTGCTTCCGTCCCGAGCATCAGGTAGGGGCAGAAAGGGATTGGGCGCAGTTCGATGAGGAGAGAAAAAAAGAAACAAAGCTGCCAATGCAAGGCCCTGAGCAAAGTTTAGCCAAAGGAGAGAAAGCGGCACCTGAAGAAGCGGAGGAGGCTATTCCACCTTTAAAAACATCCCCGGCAGAGCTGCAGGTTTTTCCTGTTATGGCTCACTGGGAACCCCCAGCTGTCCACAGCCCGTGGGGGGAAGCGGCCCCTCAGGCCTATCCAGTCAATGTTGTAAAATAACTAAAAAAGGCTGTTGCTGAGGCCAGGACTTTATCCTCAGCCTTGCAGGCTCAGACACAAAACTTAACCGAAGCCTTCAAGGCATTTACTGCCCTGATCTCCTCAGGAAACAATACTTCCCCACCCTTCAAGGGACAATGTTTTGGTTGTGGAAGACAAGGTCATTTTAAAAGCCAATGTCCCAAGGCTAAAGGCAAAAAAAACCCTACCACACCTTGCCCCCCATGTAAAAAAGGATTACATTGGAAAAAGGACTGTAGATCCAAATTTGACAAAGCCCCCAGTGGAAATAGGCCGGCCGCTTGGTACCCTTGGGAACCTCAGGACCTTAAAGAGCTGAAAAAGGCTGTCGCAGAGGATGGGCCCAATTCCCCATGCGCAGAAACCATCCTCCAGGGCTTAGCAAACAAACCCTGCACGACCCAA